TCATTCCATGTGTTGCTAAAGTTTGGATTGCACAAACTTGAGTGCTAGCCTAGTAACATGTAGAGGTAAGTGTAATTGTTTGATACTTTGAACATTCTTTGGCATTTTTTTTTGTTTGATATGAATTATAAATTGCTGTATGGATCAGTAATCTCAATAAAGATTTTGTGTATATGTGTGTGTATATGGATGTGTGTGTATATGAATAATAAATTGATCTTGGCAATATTATATTTTCTGTTTCTGCTTTCAGACTGGATGTGCTCCTTTCATTCAATCATCTTTTAGAATTTTTAGAATCTTTTAGAATCTTTTAAAAAGAGCCTTGGTAGTACAGGGGTTTAAGGCACCCTGTTATTAAGCTTATTAAGACCAGCTGCCTGCAATTACTGCAGGGTTCGAATCTCGCCAAGGCTCAAGGTTGACTCAGCCTTCCATCCTTTCTAAGGTAGGTGAAATGAGGACCCAGTTTGTGGGGGCAATAAGCTGACTTTGTATAAATATACAAAAGGATGAAGGCTATTGCTGAGCACATTGTAAGCCGCCCTGAGTCTTCGGAGAAGGGCGGCATATAAATCAAATAAAAAAAAAATTTTTTTTAAACAGTTCTGTTGATATTTCATCAATTCCTTCAACTTTGTTATTAGCAATGTTTTCTAAGGGCCATTTTACTTTCTAGAATGTCTGGCTCTACTTAAATGATCAAATCTTCACTGTTCTTTATATAAACCTTAACTGTCTTTTTATATTATTGTTCTTTATTGTACACCGCCCAGAGTCAAATTCCGTGAGATGGGCAGCTATATACATATGATAAATAAATAAAATATATGTAATTGATTTGGGGATATTTTCTGTGTCATTTATCCAAAGAGTTGCATAATTCTTTTTGTGTCGTCTTTATCTAGTAGAACATTGGCTTCTATGTTGTTTATTGAATCCGTCTTTGCACCAGATGTTGCAGTAATTTGTGTAATTTGCGTAAATAAATGTCTTGCGCTTCCCATTTGGTTTTAATCCTTTATGTCTTCATATTTATTTGATTGCGTTGCGTTGCATTGCATTTCTATTCTATTCTATTCTATTCTATTCTATTCTATTCTATTCTATTCTATTCTTGTATTTCCCTTGAACTCACTTTATACATGGACAAATCTTCTTGTCTCAGCCGTCTTTTTCTTTCTAACCGTTTTCCATTATTTTTGGCTTATTAACCTTCAACTCTCAGCAATTGCTATGTTGGCTATGGAATTCTTGGAATTGAATTTCACATGACTGCAATTTAACAAGTTTGGGAAACACTCATATAGACTTTTATGTCACCAAGAATGACAGTTTCACATTTAATGCTTTTTGTAAATATCTTATAAGTGGATAATGCCACGGTTTTTGAATCTTCAGCCATTGGTCATTTGAATAACAAAAATCCAGTGAGGTAGTTTAGGGTGAGAGACAGTCACTGATCCCGAATCATCCAGTGACTTTCATGGTTAAACACAGAACTGAACCACAGTCTTCCTGATCTCAGTTGGTCATCTGATCCTCAAAATTCTTTATTACTTAAAAACATGTTTATAAAATAAGTATTGTTTTTGAGTCAATTACATTTAAGTTTTTCTTCACAAAAGTGCTTGTAAAAGTGGCTCTATATTTGTGTGAGAGAAAGAAAGAACACCGCACCATGGCCACGTGCTAACTTTTGCAGGCCTCTTAGGCAAGATGAATTCTCTCCCAAAGATGCTTTTTCAAGAGGCAACTGGGCTTTCTGGTTTTTCTCTGAAGACCTTTCGCTTCTCATCCAAGAAGCTTCTTCAGCTCTGACTGGATGGTGGGGAATGGAAGGATTTATAAATCATCATCCAGTCAGAGCTGAAGAAGCTTCTTGGATGAGAAGCGAAACATTTTCAAAGAAAAAACAGAAAGTCCAGTTGCCTCTTGAAAAAACACCTTTGGGACAACCATGACCTGGATGATTGAGAATCTCCATAGATATCTGGGCCCACAATTTCCTTAATGTTCCCAATCTGTTTTATTTGCTTTCCTAACTTAAAGCAAAAGAAAATGGCAGAAGAAGTTGGCCATCCATGTCCCAATTTATATCACAGCTCTTCTGAAACAACAAGGAAGTGAAAAAAGAGCCAGAATTTTAAGTTGTCAGTGGATGCTTAGCTGGAGAGTAACTGCAGCTTCTGATCAACAGATGTTAGTAGCTGTTTCCAAAAGAACAGGAGCTTGACCTCATAATTTCATATGTCACATGAGTTTAATCTTTGTGAATTGAGAAAATAACCCATAAAGTGATAAGGGTAAACATTAGCAAATATAATGTATTTGTACAGGCATGGGTAACTATGGAAATAATAATAACAACTACTGTATACTTGCAAATGGAAGGAAATTCAACAGCAATAGATATATATTCTATCTCTGAATCTGTTATGGTGTTCAGCGATTCCTGACCTGGGCTAATGCTAAGCATATGAAATCCTATTTTAAAATAAAGTCTGCTTCATTCAGTGAGACTCATTCTTATAATGCTGAAACATTATAAAAACATTATAAAAACTTATATTTTCTTTAAATTATAAAAAAAATATAAAAATTTAGCGAGCAACAGTACTTGCATCTGAACTCCCAAGTGAATCTGAACACAGGGAAAGTAGTAAGGTAGTGACAACTTGTTCACTTTCTTGAATATATTCTCCAGGATCAAAATAGGCTGGCAGATCAAATATTCAGATAGAGAAATATGTTCAAAACCCACTTACGAATGGTGAAATACAGCATTCAAATACAGCAGAAATAAGAGGGATCTGAAAATAGACGATAAAGCCAAAAATGGATGGATGAAATCATTGATTGATTAGCTGGCTCAGCAATCATTTCAGCATTCTTTATCCTCTAAAATAGGTAGTTTATACATGTTATATAATTTTACATCGTACAATACCAGCAAGATTTGGTGATCTAATTTAAGTCTTTATGATGAGGCAAAACCAGTCTTTTTTTTCCATATTTAAATAATGAAGATATTTATGAAAGAGAACAAAAGAGAGGGGGGAAAAACAATTTTAAAGATAGGCTTTGTGGTTGTTTTGGGGCCATTCAGAGTAATAGCATTTTTATGTGTAAATAAAATGCATAGAGATCTAACCTGAAGCAGTGAACATTTGGCTCCCTGAAAATAGGTTTACCACTAATTGCCTTTTCAACTTTGTGCAGTGTACAAACAAATTTAACTAGTATAAGATGCCACAACCTGTTATAATCATCTTTGTAAGTAAATTGAACCTAGATTATTTCTCTGACTTAGATTTTCCTATTCTGAGGAGCAATTGGATAGATTAAGAATAAAATAAAAGAACTTTCACTTTTTCCCCCCTTTGTACTTGTAAATCATACAGTATTACAAAATGCTGGAAGAGATTTTTGGATTAATGTTTAAAAAAATCTCTCTCTGCCTTTCTAATATAAAGTATTATTTATTTATTTATTTATTTTTCATATTTGTATACCGCCCTACTCCCGAAGGACTCAGGGCGGTGAACAGCCATAATAAATACAAATACATATAGAAGTTAAAAAAAACTTTAGTTATCTACACCAGGGGTGTAAAACTCGATTTCATTGAGGGCTGCATCAGGGTTGTGTTTGACCTCGGAGGGGCGGTGGGGGGGTGTCCAGGTGGGCATGGCCAGCTCGCCGTCACTCCTGGCAGAGGGTTGCAGGAGGCCGTGGCAGCTGAAAACGGAGCTCAAAAGCCTGGCAGAAGCACCACAGCAGTCCTTTGCTGTTTCCAGGGCGGCCCCTCAGGCTAGATCTAAGTGCCCTGCATTCCAGATCCGGCCTCCAGGCCTTGAGTTTGACACCCCTGATCTACACAAACACCAATCCAAACTCATTTCATTAGATTAATTCCTTAAGTGTGAGATTTACAGCCTAATCCAGTGTGTTTTCAGTGGAGATTTGGGTACTATGTCATCCCATATGCTTTGGAATATCGGCAATGAAATGAGTATATACGGTAGTTACTTTCAGTTACCACACATAGTGCTGGTGATATACAACTACATGCATTCATATGGCTTATTCTTAGGGATTTGAATCATAATAGAAGATAATCAAAGATCTCAGTGTATAATGAAATGAATGTAGGGAAGAATACAATTGAAGTGCATATCACAGTCTTCTTTCTGAGTTGGAGATGCCCCTAATTACTTAATTCCCCATAAATAAAACAGCCTGCTGATTGTGGTTCACTAGTATGAGGGGTTTCAGCTGATGAGGAGAGGCATAATGGATTGCAGAAGATAACTATGAACCAAAATATTCAATATTTTTATCCTTGGGGATGTAGCACCAGGGGTGGGTTCTAATTTTTTTTTACTACCGGTTCTGTGAGCGTGGCTTATTTTGTGGGTGTGGCTTGGAGGTCATGTGACTAGGTGGGCGTGGCTAGCTGGTCAGAGTCATTTCTGGAAGGGCCTCGCACTTACGACCAGTCCTCGCACTTATGACCCTACTCATTTGTTTGCTTTTAACACTGATCAGCTGTAGGACGGCCCTTTGAAGCCCCGCGGCAAGAGTTTAAACAGTTTTTTTCCCTCTAGTCATCAGCTGGGACTCAGGAGGCAGCAATAGATTGGGGGTGGGACCAAATAAAAGGTAAGAATAACGGGGGGGTGGGAGGGCGGGGGGGAACCGGATCAGTGATGTCATATCGTCACCGCTACCGGCTCGGCCGAACCGAACCGGGAGGAACCCACCACTGTGTAGCACTTGTGATTTCCCAGGATTCCTCAACCTCTCATCACAACCGGAACTCACAAAGGAAAAAAAATAACCTGCTCCAGCTCTCAGCATTTTTTTGTACCATTAGATAAGGAAGGGAGGAACGTAAACAGAAGTGAAGAAATAAAGGGAAGGGGGAATTATGCAATGGTATGTCAGAATCTGATACCTATTCATCCACTCACATTTGCATGTTTTCAAACTGCTAGGTTGGCAGGAGCTGAGGCAAGGACGGGAGCTCACTCCATCGCATGGTTCAAGTCTCGAACCAGGGCTTTCCAGCTGACGATAGATACTACTTCGGTGGGAAGGTAACAGCACTCCATGATGTCATGCTGGCCACTTGACTATGGAAATGTCTTTAGACAGCGCTGGCTCAATGGCCTTGAAACAGAGATGAACACACACAATCCATAGTTGTCAACTATTAGTGGAGTAAAATCCTTTAGCTTTAGCTTTTATGTCAGGATGACTTTTGAAAACAGGAAGAAGAGATGCAGCCTACACACCCATCATGTAAAAGTTATCTCAGTCCCCTGAAGGAAAAAGGGTTGTGTGAAGAAGCATCTCAGAAGGACCCTCCCTAATTTTCTGAAAAGTAAAAGAAGGGAGTAGGGCTTTCTGACTAGCAAGCTTCTGTTACTTGTAATCTTACAATAAAAGTAGTGTTAATACTCGTGGTTGGTACTTCTTGTTTGGACTACTTCAAATAGCTGATATGCTGCTTGCAGCTGCAATGACATAGAACCCCTTAGGATTAAAGATCTTGTAAGGTGATTACACACCTTGTGTAGTATTCTCAATTCTGGGCTGCACTTGATACAGTTTCTATGGTTGTGCAGGGATCTAGATCTGTAGGAGAAATGTATGGACATGCCTGTTGCACCTGTTTGTAACGCCTTTAAAAAAAGTTGCATTATTTTCTGGCTTCAAGGTAATGATACATTTGGATTAAGGAGGCTCCATTATCTACAACACGTGTGCCCACACATTCTCTGTAGAGAATGTTTCAGTTTTGAATTAGCATGATTGCACAACTCTGTTTTCATACTTGTGAAAGATGGACATTTGTATTTTATACATTTCTGTGTTTAAATCATAAGATACTGTACTTGCCAATGAACTCAGGGTAGCTTACTTATAGTAAAATATAGAAAAGTAGAACAGTAAATACTTCACTATGGGGAAATTGCACCACTTCCAGTTGGAATCAGATGATCTGCAGAGTCTAAAGATTCAATGACATGATTTGTTGGTCCATCACCTCAAATTTATACCACAACTCATCTATTTTTGGTAATAGAGTGGATAGTTTTGTCTCTTAATAAAGCACTTTGCCTTTAAAAAAACACTACAAATATCCTTATATATGCTCTTTTAATAATAATTATCCCACATAACCCCGTCGTATATTTCTCCTTCTAGGTTGATGCTTTTTAAAATTACAATGACCTGAACTGTGCTATGTTTATAGTTTCTTTTTCAAGCTTTTGGCACAAAAGCGGTCTTATGGGAACATAAAACCCATATGTTCCTCTAGAAATAAAAAGTGTTGCTTCATAAGCTGTGAATAATTTTATCAATATTTTGACAGCGATAATTCTTCATTTATTCTCTGCCAGCTCTTTGTCTTTCTTACACAGAATGAAGCAATATGTTTGCACTCAGATAGGAGATAATTAAGTTCATTGGAATGCACCCAGATTCATAGGCTTGCAGAAACAGGGATGAAAATAGGGGCATTTATTGAAAGAGGCACATCAATTCTAATGTACATTCAGCTGTGTGGAGAAAGATGTATTTGCAAGCTGAAGAAGGAATTGTTGGCATTATGTGGTCTAGCCATATAACTTGAAATTAAGTATTCAAGTTGTTTACGTGTTGTCTAAGAAGCATGCATAGTCACCAAAGCAAGAGTAGTGCAGGGAATGACAAATGTGTTATGCGCTATATTGGTGCTGCAAAACTATTTACATCTCCCAGAATCTTTTAGAAACTATATTCTGGAACGGGAGCTGGCAACCATGGATGTCAGTTGTACCATCAATGGTTCTTCTAACATTTAGGAAATGCCATGTTTATCCCCCTTGATTAAATTGGGAGAGAAGGAGGGCATGGGCATTACAAGCACTGCTCATCAGCAATGCCACTCAAAATGGAAGCATTTTAGGGTATAGAGCAGGGGTGAAATGCTCCCAGTTCAGACCAGATCGGCCTATCCGGTAGCGATGGCGGCGGGTGGTTCGGAGAACTGGTAGCAAAAATCCCTGCGCCCCCTCCACCATGCTCAGCTGAGTCGCATGATCATCAGTTGTTTTTTTTTTTTTTACTTTTAAAAGCATTTTTTCTACAACCTCTTCCGATGAAAAAATGCTTTTAAAAATAAAAAAAAAAAACCTCTGATGATCGCGCGGCTCAGCTGGGATCCTCAGAGGCTTTTCAAAGCATTTTTTTCTGCAACCCCTTGGCCGAAGTGGTGGTAAAAAAAATGCTTTGAAAAGTCTCTGACAATCCCAGCTGAGTTGCCTGATCGGCAGAGAGGCTTTTCAAAGCATTAGAAAAAATGCTTTGAAAAGTTAAAAAAAAAAAAAAGTTGGCCACGCCCACCCAGTCACATTACCCACCACCACCACCAAGCCACGCCTACAGAACCGGTAGTAACACATTTTACATTTCACCCCTGGTATAGAGATATAGAGGACTATAAGCCACTGTTTCTTTTTGAAGGGCGCCCCTCCAAACTGCCACCTGGAAAAGATTTTTAAAAAGGCTAATGGATAGTAGCAGGGCAGCCAGATGATAGTCAGGAACTTCCTTAAGAAAGTTGGTGCTCTTTTTTGAGCATGGTTTCCAACCTGTCTCTTTGTCATTTCACATATTTGACTGGGATGGTGCAAAGATGGGCAGCAAATAGATTCCCTCAACAAATAAATAATAGGACGGTGCAGGGAAGAAGGAGAAGGAGGAGGAGGAAGAGGAGAATCAGACAAAAAAAGTCTGGATGGTGAACATGGCAGTAGCTGGAGACAGCAGAAAAGAAGAGAAAAAGTTCGAAAAAGATCACAAAATACAGAGACTTGCAAATAGAAGTAGAATGACTATTGCTAAATAAACAAGCAAGCAAGCAAGTAAGCAAACAAAAAGTATCTATAGTATTAGGTGCCTTGTGTGCAGTCCCAAAATAACTGGAGCACCAGTTTGTGGGGGCAATAAGCTGACTTTGTATAAAATATACGAAAGTATGCAGGCTATTGCTTAATGCATTGTAAGCCGCCCTGAGTCTCTGGAGAAGGGCGGCATATAATAAATAAATAAATAAATAAATAAATAAATAAATAAATAAATAAATAAATAAATATGCACATATTGATATTGACAAAAATCATCATCAGTCAATTGCAAAAGGCAGCTTTACTTGGAACAGCTTACATCTTGTGACAATATCTTTAACAGCATCAAACAACATCTCCCTGGGGTGGACCTGATAGGTGGATAAAAATGTCAAAAGCAGTAAATATTTGACTGTGATTAATCATCATCATCATCATCATAATATATTTCACCATTGAAATGTTGAAAAGTCGTTATTATAGGTAAGGAAGTAATGATAATTAGATTGGGTAAACTTGAATGTCAAGCCTTGTTAGTGTGATAACTCATGAAATGAGGTCCCAGCCACAGTTCAATCAGTTCAGAAATATGGTGAACTGGAGAAAAACATAACCATAAATATTTAAAAAGGAGAAGAGAGGGAAACTGGGAAACTATTGATTGGTTACTTTAACATCTGTGCCAGGCAGACTGCTAGAACAATTTGTCTAGTTCTAGCAACTTGCAAGGAATTATCAGGAGTCAGCCTGGATTTCTCAAGAGCAAGTCTGTTGGACCAATCTTATTTGTTTTTACGACCCAGTGATTAATGGACCAAGAGAATGCTAAGGAAGTAGTGTTCTTTGATCTGTGTCAAGTATTTCACATACTCTCTTATAAATCTTTACTGTCAAATAGAACACACTTGGACTAGATAATATGGCAGTTGGGTAGACATATACCTGCTTAAGCAATCTTATCAAAAATGTGCTAATGACTGGTTCTGTAATATCCTGCAGGGATGTATCTAGTATGGGCCTCCAGCACATCATCCGCACCCAATGCCATTCAATATATTTATGAGGATGCAATGCAAATGATGCTTGATTAGTGGAGGACACCAAGTTAAAGGGATTGGACTATTGTCTTAAAAGACAACAATCACAATTTAAAGAATATTGGGTCACATTCAAGAGGTTGATGTTCAACTGTGAGAGGCATATGAAGCACTGCATTCGGATAGGAAAAATAACCTGCAGTGGTATAGAATTGGGGAGTTTTAACTTAGTGGCAAAATGTATAAGAAGGTTCCAGGTCTATTAGTAGAACACCGATGTCACATGACCAAGCAGTATGATGCAGTTCTACAAAGACCAGTGCAGAATTGGGCTGTTGTAGCAGAAGCATAGCATCAGATGAAAGAACAGTCCTGTTGTATCCTGTGTTGTGACAGCACTTGAAATGTTGTGCCCACTTTTCATAGGAATGTAGACAAATCAGAGCAGATTCAAACTTTCCAACTAGGCTGCTAAGGGATTGTAAACCAAGATTTATGTCAAGTAGTTAAAAGAACTGGATATATTTAGCTTGCAGAAGACAAAAATGAGAGACGATCTCGGATAAAAACATTTAAAGTACAGTGCTGTCCTATGTTAGAAGACATGGATCTGTCCTTTTCTAAAACTGGAAGAAGATGCCAACAAGCTCTCACAGCTCGATTGACTTTTCAAGGGAGTTGACTCTCGTGACATGATCACCAAGATCTTGGTGATCTTGGCTTCAAGTGATATTTTTGGTAAGGTTCAGTCTAGGACATCTGTGTTATTTTTGCAGTCCATGGGATGGGTAATAATCGCTTCCATACCACAGTTCAAAGGGAAGTCCATGCTTCTCCTATCTGCTGTTTTCAGAGTCCAAGTTTAGCAGCCGTAAGTAGCAATTGGAAAAATTATTGCGTTCACTAATCTGCATTATTGCATTCACTAATCTGCATTTAGTTGTGAGGTTGATGCCTTTACTCTTCAGATGTTATTCATACCAGACGTTGCAGTTCTTCCCAGTGCAATACGCCTTCTGATCTCAGGGCTGCACTCACCACTTCAGTCGATTTTAGAGCCCAGGAAGATGAATTCCTTTACTGTTTCGATGATCTCATTGTCGATCTGCACTCTGACTGGTATGTTCTCTGCAGCTGTCATTATCTTTGTTTTCTTGTTGTTAAGGTGCAGTACATTTTTTTTACTTAAAAGGGGGGTTTTCTGGAACGCTGACACTAAATGCATTTAACCAAGCATATCAGTGGTGGGATTCAGCCGGTTTGGGAATGGACGGCGCTATGCCGTCTTTTTAGCCACATTTTTTTAAGCCGCCTGCATGCGTGTAAGCCACACACACTCACATTTTCGGTGCTGAGAGAACCGGTTGTTAAATTATGCGAAGCCCACCTCTGAAGCATATAATTGTAAATACAGGATATATTTACCATAACCCTTGTTTTCTTTCCCTCTATCTTGATTCACATATTACTCACCTCTTCTTTTCCTAGTTTCACTTTCCACCTTAGATCAGCTTTCCCAGTTGCCAATTT